CTCCAGGGCCCCGTCCCCGTATAGAGCTGTGAACTCCGCCTGTGGGAGAGAAGGGAAGTAGGAGAGAAAGAAGGAGAAAGGGATATCAGGAGAGGAAAGAGTGGAGAGAAGAGGAGAGGAAGAGTTCCAGTTCCGTCCACCGTGAGCACTGCCCCGTACCCAGCTCGCGTCCTTCCTCAGAGCCCACTGACTGCAAGCCCCTCCCTGCCCCAGGTGCCTGGCCAGCCCCCTTGTGCTCTGTGCCTTAAGTAAAATCCACTCTTGCCTTGGCAAAAAATTCTACTCAGGACTGGCATTCTTTGCCAAGGTTGCCTGACTGCCACCCATCTCTACGCCTCCCCACCGCCCATGCCTCGTGCTCAGGGGTGACAGCTTTGGACTGCAGGCACTCCGTGGGTACCCCGAGCCCATCCAGTGATCACTGCATGGCAGCCTGGGTGCAGAGTCCAATGTGATGCTCACAGCAAGGGCATCTTAGTCTGACTCCCCCCAAAGAGGGCGATATAGCCCCAGTGCCTCCTTCCTAGCACAGCTGTCCCAGCTGCCAATCAGAGCCCCCATCTTCCCCCTGGAGATCAGCTTTGCAGAGGGCTGTGCAGAGCAGCAATTGAGAAGCTTCTTACCCAGCCCCCACTGCTGTGGATCCAGTCGGCCAGGCGCGTCTCCAGGTAGGCCACCATCCACTCCTGCACTTGGCCCACCAGTGGTTCCATCTCTTTGTTGACACTCTCAGCACACAGGGCAGCCCCAAAGACAAAGAAGGCCACAAGACGGCCCCAGTTGGGGCCCCCTTGGAAAAGTTCGTCGGAGACCTGGGTGAAGCGCTGCTGGGCTGAGCCAGGGGTCACATGCAGCTGAGCAGCCAGATCTGAGAAGGTGCGCCGGAACCGGGTCTCGAACTCATCTCCAGCTGCCCGCATGGCTTGGTGCAGTGGGTCAGCTGCTGGGCCCTCCCCAGGGCCAGCTCCACAGACATAACCCTTCTGCCTCAGCTTATAGCCTACAAAGTCAGCCACCAGAGCCCGTGTGTCTGGGGCCGAGGCTGGGGTCGCCATCCGGGCGGCTGTATGGGGCAAGGGTGAGACTGGCATGAATACAGGGCAGGTATGGACAGGGACCCAGAAGGGGTGTTTCCAGTCTGGCCAACCAAAAAAGATGGTGTGGCAGGATGGGGCTGGGGGCTGTGCGCAGAGATTACTGGGCAAGGAGAGGCAAGAACAAGAGACTTATGTCATAGTGTGGGCCAGGGCATGAGAGGCTGGCTGGCCGGTGTATTTGGAATATTCCAAATTAGATGCAAAAGAAGAGCACTTTATTTTTTACTATTTCAGATTCTTTTCAAAAGACCACCACCACCAGCGGTAAGCACTCTAACACCCCTCCCCCACCCCACCCGCAACAGCGAACACCTTGTTCGCTACAGGCAGGGGTTTACGACCTCCCCAAAAGCAAGAAGTGATGACGGGGAGCGGACAAGGCTGAAAAAGGTGGGCGAAGGCAAGGGCTGCCCAGGGAGAGAAAAGAAGGGAGCACTCACCCAGCCTGGATAGCAGCTCTTAGGACCCAGTGCTGGTGGCAAGGAGCCCCCAGCTGGGGCCTTTCATCCTCCCGGCCAGCTTGGAGGCCTGCAAAGGGGAAAGAGAGATCAGCACTGCGCAGGGAAGGCCAGGGATCAGAGTCTGGCCTGAGAAGCACAGGGGTTGCAGCTCCTGGGACCTGGCCCCTGCCCCCAACGCTCTACCAGCTGTGTGGCCGAATCCATGTTTAATGACTGTCCTCCCGGGAAACCCAGGGCCGAGGGCTTCCTGCCGACACCATCCTATTCTCGGCTCCCCCCAGTGTAGCCCACAGGCCCAGTTCCTCCTTTACCCCCACGTCTCCAACCCTGCCCGCCGGCCAGGTTAGGGATCTCACGGGTCAGGCCGCTGCCGGGATCCGGGCCGTTTCCTGGTGCAGGAGCTGGGAGGGAGGGAGGAAGGGAGGGAGGAAGGGAGGGAGGAAGGGAGGGAGGGAGGGAGGAGAAGCGGGGGCAGGAGGGAGGGCCCGGCGCCGGGTGATGATGGGGCCCAGAGATGCGTCCGGAGAGAGGGGCGGGGCTGGAACGCAGGCCCGGGAAGGTCCACAACTTGGAAGGAGCCGACCGCCGAAGGCAAGGAATGGCTGTGTGGACAGGGCGCCAGAAGCCGCGCTGCCGAGCCTCGCGGCTGCCCAGAAGACTGCACTGGGCCTCAGAACATCTCGGAGCAAATTCAGCATTTCCAGAAGGTCTCTGAGGTTCCATGCACTTGTTGAACTTTTCCAGCCCTGGATTTGTTTTCTGGAAATGAGGAGCGGTTCCCATGAAGCCAGGGACTGTCCTGCCCTGTGGGACTAGCAGACACTGCCAGGACACCAAGGCTTTCTCATTCTCTTTTCCCCAGGGCCTGTAATCCCGAGGCCTTTTCCCGGTTGAGGTCTTCTGCCAGACATCAGACAGCCAGGACTCACACTGCAAGCGGCCACCACAGGTACTTTTTTTCATCTTCTTTTGTAATCAGATTGATTCACAATTTTTTTAACCCAGCCCATGAACTCATTTTCATAATAGAAAAAAAAAAAATCACACAGAGCCAGGTGTGGTAGCAGACGCCTGTAATCCCAGCACTTGGGAGGCTGAGGCAGGAGGATCATTGCGAGTTCAAGGCCAGCCTGGGCTACAAAGTGAATTCAAGACCAGCCTGAACTGCAATAGTGAGACCCTATCTCAAAAAGACAAAAAAAAAAAAAATCACACAAAAAGCACATCAAAAAATAAAATACAACTTCCCAGACCCCCCAGCCCCTCCCAGCAGGTTGTCAATATGAAGATTAATATTTAGCCTTCCAGATGACATGTCTATTATTCTACATAGCAATGTAGTCATGCAGGGCACTTCACCGGGTATGAAGCAGTCTGCCTGCAACTGCCCTACCTGGGGGCATTCACATGCGTTCAGACCTGCCCCTTGGGCTCTTGGAGCTGGCAATTCCTGCAGCTCCCTTTGGAAATGGCCCCACACAAAGGCCAGAAAGAGGCAGCGCAATTCTCCTTTACTCTGGTTCTTTTTTGTTCATTTCCTTTGCTTCTACCTCCAACCCCTGCCTTAGTGTTCCTGTCTTTCCTATGGTTACTAGAAAAGCATGTGTTTTTTTTTTTCTGTAGCAATAATAGTAACAACACCACTGAGAAATTTATTAAGTGCTAAGTGCTTTCTTTATATGTTTTTGTTTTGTGGTACTGCTATAATTAATCTTTTTTTTTTTTTTTTGAGATAGATCTCACTATGTATGCAGTTCAGGTTGGCCTTGAACTCACTGTGTAGCACAGACTGGCCTCAAACTCAAGGCAATCCTCCTGCCTCAGCCTCCTGAGTACTGGGATTACAGGTGTATGCCACCATATCCAGGTGTAATTAATCTTAAACAATTTTTTCTGGGTTTGAACCCAATGCCTTCTCACTGAACTACATCCCCAGCCCTTCATAAAAAAAATTTTGAGACAGTATCTTGGTAAGTCATTTATTTACCCAGGCTGGCCTTGGATTTGTGATCCTCCTGCCTCAGCCTTTCAGAGTACTGGGATTATAGAAGGCACCACCATGCATTTGTTACATGTATTTTATTTATCTTGGGGGCTGGGGATATAGCTCAGTGGTATAAGCGCCTGCCTGTCAAGCACAAGGTCATGAGTTTGATCCTCAGTACCACAAAAAAAAAAAGAAAAAAAATTTATTTTTACTTCAGTCCTTATGCTGTTGTGGTCTCATTCTATGGATGAAGAAATTCTATGGTGAACTGAAGAACCTGAGACCTAATCTAAATCTGTCTGACCTAAAAGTTTAATGTTAACTCAGACTCTGTATTGCCTCAAGAGCACCTTTGCCCCACTGGTAGTCAGTGTTGCTCTCAAATTGGAATGCACACCATTTATGAGTCCATAGAATGTACAGCTGATTCCACTCCTTTATGGCTGTATTCTTTCAGCCATCCTCTTTTATTTCATGCTCTTAAACTAATCATTTCAGGTGCCACCAGCAAGGTTGCCCCCTTCTTTGGAGGCAAACCTAGTCTGGGCCTTTATTTGCAATCCTGGTTTCTTCTAAGACCCTTACTTGCAATACTTTGTTTTAAATTTCAAGTAAATGTCTTAGGCAACCCAAATTTTCTGTCTGTCCTTTTACTTATGAGCTCCTTAAGAGCTGGAACTGAGGTAGATTCATTTTTGTGTCCTCAGAGCCAAATGGACCCTGAGTAAATGTAGACCGAATGAATCAGTCAGTGCCTCTGGCCAGTTATTGATTAGTCCCAGCCAGGCACTTGAAGATCACTGCGGTGGCTATTTAAGATATACTAATTTGAAATAAAGATTCGGTGTCAGCCTGAGCAGCCAGAAGAACAGCTTATCCTGGTCCAAACCTATGTACACAACTTATACCTGGTCCAAAGCTTTGGACCTCAAGGATCTACTCAGACCAGCACCACAGAGCCAAAGAATGGCAGCTAAAAACCTGTAGACAAAGCAACAGAGCCTTTACCAGAAAACCTAAGGCCACAAAGGCTGGCCTTGAACCTGTCCATTACACTCCAGTGACACATAGTTTTTCCAGTGCAAAAAAGATTCCTTTAAGCTGCTTAACTTGACAGCAATTAGTGTATGATTTTAAACCCTAAAATACAAAGAGAACATGTGCATGGATTTTATATGTACATGTGAAGAAAATAAAACTCAATATGGCTTTAAAAATGAATGGTTAAAAAATGAGTGGTTTCCTATGGTTGATACTGGTGTGAAAATGCAAATAGAAATGAATTATACAATAAGATACTGTCTATGTCTCACTGTATACTTTCAGTTTAGTCACTTGTGATTTTTTCAACTAAACTATCCTGTTCTAAATTTATTTTTCTTTCTTTCTTTATTTTTTGTCTTGAGACAGGGTCTCGCTATGCAGTTCAGGCTGGCCTTGAGCTCACTCTGTAGCCCAGGCTGGTCTCAAACTCACAAGAATCCCCCTGCCTCAGCCTCCCAAGTGCTGGGATTACACGCCCAGCTCCTGTTCTAAATTTAGAGACTTTGTTTCTACTCTAATATTTCTCATTTTACTACTCTGAAGTCAGCGACATTACCATTACATTTTTAACCTTGTACTGTATAATCAAATGGGTAAGAGAGTGGACTGAGTTGGCTGCTGAGGTCTTAATCTCAGCTCCCATTATTAACTATGTGACTCTGGACAAGAGTCCTACCCCCACTCTTCCCTCAATTTTCCTGTAACTGTATGTCATGGAGTTAATAATGTTAGAAGACTTACAGCAGTACCTGGCACACTGTAAGTGCTATTTTAAGATCAGGAAAATTAGAAAAAAGAAAAAAAAAAAAACTAAAAACACACCTTTTCCATTAATATGGGGGGGGGGGGATCCCGTTCTTGGAAGCTTTCCCTGGAACTAGAACCCCACAGCCCAGCACCAAGAGAACGTGGTGTGCTCGTTTATTCACTAACTTGATGACCCAGCCTGTGCTGAAACTGACCACCAGGCACAGCCCTGCCTTCAGTGTTTACAGCAGGATTAGAAACCAGAACTCGACGCATGTTTTCACAGGTGAGACAGCTGAGGCCAGCGAAGGTGTGCTGTGCTCCAGGTCACAGCTGCCCAGCTGCAGGCCCAGGGCTGGGGCTAATCAGTTCTGGACTCTTCCCAATGGGCAGTTTCCAGCCACCCACCTTCTTGAGTGCTGCAGCTCACCTACGTGACTGCACCCAGCTCGGGACCTTTCTGTCTTTGCCCCCACTGCACCCTCCTTCCGAACCTGGAGCCCAGGTTTAAGAAAACAGTAAGCCCTGAAGACGACGTCATACACTGGGCGTTTTGAAGCTTTGAGAAACGTAAAGATTGGTCTTTTCCTCCCAGTGTTAACCCTCCCCACGCCAGAAAGGTTGAGGACGTTAAAATAAATAAGTAAAAAGGCTGGGTGGCCTCACTAGGGACCGAAAGGATGGAGTCCCGCCCCCTGGTGCAGCGGCGAAGACAGATCGGGAGCCACCTGTCAGAGGGCTGTGGGCGGAGGCCAGGCGGAGAGGCCCGCAGGAGAGGCGGGGAGCTCACGCCCGGAGCCGCTAGCCCCGACACCAGTACTCCAGGCAGCATGGGATAGTGTAAGACTCTGGCGGCTGACGGCCGGGGGAGGGAGGGTGGTCACACGGACACGAGGCCGAGCAACGCGAGCTGGAGGATCCTGGAGGTGACGGCAAGGAGAGTACGCAGCGGCAAGGGGCTGCTGCAGAGCGGGCCCGGAGACTGTGCCGACGCAGGGCGGGCCGCACCGGGCCGGAGGTGCCATGTCCCGCGAGCGGCCGCCCCGCACTGACATTCCCCGCAATCTGAGCTTTATAGCTGCGCTGACTGAGCGCGCCTACTACCGCAGCCAGCGGCCCAGCCTCGAGGAGGAGCCGGAGGAGGAGCCAGGCGAGGGCGGTACGCGGCTCGGGGCCCGGTCTCGCGCTCACGGTCCGAGTCGGGGCCGCCGGGCCCGCTCTGCGCCCGCCGGAGGCGGTGGCGCCCGGGCACCCCGCAGCCGTAGCCCCGACACCCGCAAGAGAGTGCGTTTCGCCGACGCGCTGGGGCTGGAGCTGGCCGCCGTGCGCCGCTTCCGCCCCGGAGAGCTGCCCCGAGTGCCCCGCCACGTGCAGGTGCAGCTGCAGAGGGACGCCCTCCGCCACTTCGCGCCGTGCCAGCCGCGCGCTCGCAGCCTCCAGGTAGGCGGCAGGGCGCGCCCCCTCCCGAAACCCCTCCTCGCCGGGACCACCCGTCGGTCCCCCTGCTCGGGTTCGCACCTGGCCATCCCTGTGGGGCGCCTCGGCGCGAGATCGCCGCTAGGCCACTCTAAACTGCGCCCCACTCTGCAGGCCCGACGCCCGGTTGGCCTCTGATTGGCCCAGGGCCTGGCATTGACCCCGCCCCTTGTCTCTCTCCTCTCCCCGCCCCGGCTCCCTTCCCGCTCCTCTTTCCCCAGGAGGCGCGCGCCGCCCTGGAGCCGGCCCGCGACCCGGGCTTCGCCGCCCGCTTGCAGGCGCAGCGCATCTGCCTGGAACGCGCCGAGGCGGGCCCCCTGGGCGT